AAAGAAAGAAAGAAAGAAAGAAAGAAAGAAAGAAAGAAAGAAAGAAAGAAAGAAAGAAAAGGAAAGGAAAGAAAAAAAGAAAGTTAATCACCAATGTGATGGTATTAACAGATGGGGTCTTTCTAGGGTGATTAAGTCATAAGAACTGAGCCCTCACGAATGGGATTAGAGACTTTATTAAAGAAGCTCAAGGGAGCTAGTTTTACCCCTTTTTGCCCTTCTGTTCCTCTGGCACGTGAAGACACAGAGGAGGTACTATCTATGAGAAACAGGCCCTCACCAGACACCAAACCTCTCGGTGCCTTGATCTTGGACTTCCCAGTCTCCAGAATTGTAAGAAACAAATTTCTGTTGTTTAAAATTTTGGGTATTTTGTTATAGCAGTGTAGAACAGACTGAGACATGAGCCTCAGTTTCTTCTTTTATCAGATTGGCCTAATGACACCAACCTCATAGGGGTTGGTAAGGATTAAATGAGGTGATGCATATAAAGTGCTTGGCACAGCGTCTGGCACATAGTAAACACTCAATAAATGGTATCAGTTATAAAATATCATAGACAAGCCATGAACCTAAGACTCAAATGTCTAGGTTATCATAAAATAAATGTTTGTAGCAACAAGTGGTAGGAGCTGTGTTGACCTGAAGAGTTTATGTCTCCTCTAAACACACCAAAATTAAAATTTTCTCCAAAACTGTGGGAGAAACAAAATATATTTGATCTCCCAGAAATATATCCAAATCTGGCCCTTAGGACTCCCAGTTTGCAATCCCTGGCCTTGGCCATTTTGAGATGCCTCTGATTGCTAATGTCTTCCCTCACCCACCTCTCTTCTTTTTTGTAGTCCACAGTGAAGACCAAAAGAGACACAGTGAAAGGTTACTTCCTGGCTGGAGGAGACATGGTGTGGTGGCCAGTAAGTGGTCTTTGGTTCAATTAAAGTCACTTCTTAAAGAATCTTTAAGTGCTGGGATTCTGTCCAGGCTTTGATCTCTCAGGACTCTCTGATCTCATGTTGTTTGGAAGTCATTGTCTAAACTAGAGAAGGCTTAGCTCCAGCTCAAATTTGTTTAAACAACAACAAAAAAATTCATCAGCTCACCTAAGGGAAAAATCTGGAGTTAGGTTTTAAAAATAAATATTTATATAAATATAATATTTTTATAATATATAATATATAATAAATATGTAAATATGTATAATCACAACCTTAAACAGAAAACCAGTATCATTTGCTCTACACAGGAAAGTAGGGAATCATAAAAATAAAATTAAAAAATGTGCTTTTCTCCCTTGGACTCATTCATGCAGTTGCATTTAGTTGGTGACTAGGCTAGATAGAAGTCCAAGATGGCTTCATCCACATTTGGGGGACTTTGGCAGGGATCACTGGAATACTGGGACCTCACTTTCTCCCTATTCTCTTTTGTCATTCAGTGGCCTAGCCCAGGGTTTTGTGGTTTTTCTTGCTGTTTTTTGTTTTTGTTTTTGTTTTAACCAGGTAGCTGAATTTCAAGAGGGCAAAAATGAAAGCTACTAGGCTGTTAAGGTCTTGGCCTGGAAGTCATACAGTGTCACTTCTACTACATTCTGTTGGTTAAAGTAAATTACAGGCCAGACCCGTTTCTATACGGGCCAAGTGGAAAAGTCACATTTCAATGGTGTCATTGGGAAAGGCAGAGTAAAGAGCTTCAAAAATTCTCTCCTCCATAAAAGTAATAAGAACCGAAGCAAAAAAAGAAAAAAAGAAAATTGTCAAAATCAACTTTTTTAGAACTCTGGAGATTAACCACATGCTGCAATAATTCAGGAAGCATTTATTCAAGAAAAACAGCTGGATCTCAGGAAAAAAACAGTGAGCTTTGGCCCTGTTTCCATCTCTCTCTCTTTAGCTGTGTAGTAGTAGCCTTGGGAACCACCAGCCTAGAAGCAACTGAAGAGGTCAGAACGGGGTCAGAACTCTTTCAAACTCCATTCTCAAAAAAAGGTCACTATTTGACCTGTCATTTAGTTTCCTGGAAAGCCCCACCTGCTAGGCTCATCTTTGTTTGACCTTACCTAGAAGGTAAGGTCAGTGTGAATAGCCTTTTCCCTAGACACATTTGTAGAAAAACAATCAGTGGCAATTGTTTAACATTGCAGCTGTGGCAATAACAGTTTGGCAAATAATATTCTAATAAAATAACTTCAATAGAAAAGCTGGGAAGTGAGATGCACATAGGGTGCTTTGAAAAGCTTAGACATATTTCTGGGAATCTAGAAGGCCATGTGCACAGGACCACACACATGCTCAGGAAAGACCCAAGAAAGCCCTAAGCTCCTGCTTCTGGCTGACCTTGAGGCTCTGCACCAGCAGGAAGTGAAGGCTAAGGCAGAGTTATAAGCTGGAAGAATTGCAAAGACTGGAAAAATTATTGGTTTCAGGGATTTAAGAAAATGTCTGTTCAGTCATTAGCTGCCCAATAAACTGAGCATAGATTTTGGTGGACACACGTGACAAAGAATTCAGACTTTATAAACTTAACTTAAGAAAGTCATGAAACAAACAATAGAAGCAGCAACAACAGCAGGAATGAATAGAAGAAACAACAATAAACCCTGAAGAGTCAGGAATGATCAGATTTCTAGAGTTACCAGTGACATTATTTTAAATGTCCACCTTTAACAAAAAATTATAAGACATGCAAAAAGCCCAAGAAATTATGGTCCATACATGGAGGTGGGGGGAGCAGTCAATAGAAAGTGTCCCTGAAAAAGACCAGATGTTATATTCACTAAACAAAGGCCTTAAATCAGCAATTTTATGTATATCCAAAAACCACACAAAAAAGCCATGTCTTAAAAACTAAAGAAAAGTATGAGAACAATGTTTAACCAAACAGAATATATCATTAAAGAGATAGATATTATTGGCCAGGCGCGGTGGCTCACACCTGTAATCCCAGCACTTTCGGAGGCCAAGGCGGGCAGATCACGAGGTCAGGAGATTGAGACCATCCTGGCTAACACGGTGAAACTCCATCTTTACTAAAATACAAAAAATTAGCCAGGCATGGTGGCGGGCGCCTGTAGTTCCAGCTACTCGGGAGGCTGAGGCAGCAGAATGGCATGAACCTGGGAGGCGGAGCTTGCACTGAGCCAAGATAGCGCCACTGCACTCCAATCTGAGTGACAGAGCGAGCCTCCGTCTCAAAAAAAAAAAAAAAGAGATAGATATTATTATTATTATTATTATCATTATTATTTTGAGATGGAGTCAAAGCTATAGTAATCAAAAGAGTGTGATATTGACAGAAGGATAAACATGTAGATCCATGAAACAGAATTTGGTAAGAATTTGATAGGAAAGTCAATAAGGAGGCAAAATGGCTCTTTGATAGGAAAGTCAATAAGGAGGCAAAATGGCTCTTTCACAATTCTCTCTCCTCTCTTCTCTTCCTTCACCCTTCTCCTCCTCCTTTCCTTCCTCCTCCTCCTCTTTTTCTTCTTGCTCCCTCCTTTCCCCTCCTCACTGGATCTGCCTTTTTTTTTTCTTTTTTTTTTTTGAGGCGGAGTCTCTGTTGTCCAGGCTGGAGTGCAGTGGCGCAATCTCGGCTCATTGCAACCTCCACCTCCCCAGCTCAAGCGATTCTCCTGCCTCAGCCTCCTGAGTAGCTGGGATTATAGGCATGTACCACCACGCTTGGCTAACTTTTATATTTTTAGTGGAGACGGGGTTTCACCGTGTTGGCCAGGCTGGTCTCAAACTCCTGACCTCAAGCGATCCGCCTGCCTCGGCGTCCCAAAGTGCTGGGATTACAAACGTGAGCCAGAGTGCCCAGCTGGGCCTGCCTTTCTGTGCAGGTCTCCATTCTCCTCTCTCTCTGAACTGGCAGTGATGACTGGCACATGGTGAAACATGCTTCCACACCACTCCCTCACCCCCATCACACACACACCCCCCTGGTTCAACATCACCAGTCCAAGGGACCAGCAGAGATGGTGTCCTTGTTTCAAATTCCCAGGAAAGAGAAGATAATTTGCCCAGCTTGGGCCAGGTACCCAGGCTTGTCCAATCAGTTGAGACCAGGGAGACCAGGGATTGGCATCATCAAGTACAGCACTAGCCATTTAGTGCTATACCAGGAGGACTATCTACTTTGCTAAGTTAGAAGCAGATCTGGGCAGTTTAAAAGGCTCCCTGATTCTCATCATGAATCACTTTCTACATTACCTCTCATCTTCTTTCCTGACCCCCGACCCCCACAGGGATGCTGGGTACAGTTGTTAAAGTTGTGCACTGCACAACCCTAGAGGGGGCAATCTGCATTTTAGGCCCTGTAGACATGAATATTCATTCTACCAATCTCTGACAGGTGGGCTCTGACCAAGTAAGAGTCTTGGGAAAGGAGAATCTCATTCTAATGTAAACGAAAATGCCAGATAGGCTAGGGGTGGCCCTGCCTTCCTCCACTTCTCTTCTCTGTCCCTTTGGAGCATGGAAAGAATCGGGGGTGGTGAGCAGGTACCCTCGACTTTGTCTCCAACATCTGACCCCTCCATCTTCCCACAGGTGGGTGCATCCTTGTTTGCCAGCAATGTTGGAAGTGGACATTTCATTGGCCTGGCAGGGTCAGGTGCTGCTACGGGCCTTTCTGTATCTGCTTATGAGCTTAATGTAAGTATTTTACTCAGGGCATAGATGACATCTTACCTCTACCTAATAGGTAGATCTCAGGGGCAAGTTGTATGAATGCCCCGCACTTTAAAAATAGAATGGTGGGGCCGGGCGTCGTGGCTCACACCTGTAATCCCAGAACTTTGGGAGGCAAGGCAGGCAGATCACAAGGTCAGGAGATCAAGATCATCCTGGCTAACATGGGGAAACCCCGTCTCTACTAAAAATACAATAAATTAGCCTGGCGTGGTGGTGGGCACCTGCAGTCCCAGCTACTCAGGAGGCTGAGGCCAGAGAATGGCCTGAGCCGAGGTCGTGCCACTGCACCCCAGCCTGGGTGATGGAGTGAGACTCTGCCTCAAAAAAGGAAAAAGAAGAAGAAGAAGAAGAAGAAGAGGAGGAGGAGGAGGAGGAGGAAGAAGAAGAAGAAGAAGAAGAAGAAGAAGAAGAAGAGGAAGAAGAAGAGGAAGAGGAAGAGGAAGAAGAAGAAGAAGAAGAAGGAAGAAGAAGAAGAAGAAGGGTGAGACTCCGTCTCAAAAAAAAAAAAAAAAACAAAAAAAAAAACACAAACAAACAAACTCCAAAAAACCCCCCAAAAATAGTGGGTTGGGCACGATGACTCAGGCCTGTAATCCCAGCACTTTGGGAGGCCGAGGTGGGTGGATCATTTGAGGTCAGGAGTTTGAGACCAACCTGGCCAACACGGTGAGACCCCATCTCTACTAAAAATACAAAAATTAGCAAGGCTTGGTGGTGCACGCCTGTAATCCTAGCTACTCAGGAGGCTGAGTCAGGAGAATCACTTGAACCTGGGAGATGGAGGTTGTGATGAGGTGAGATCGTGACCCTACACTCCAGCCTGGGTGACAGAGTGAGACTATGTCTTAAAAAATAAATTTAAAAAAAAATGGTGTGTGAAGAGGAGGGCTCAGAATTCCTCTCCTAGAGATGCAGAAGAAAGAAGGTATCGCGGAGACTGAAGCGTATTTCTGTGTACTTTAGACATCAATCAACCATCGCAAAAATTTTACAGTTTAGTAGTTTTTGACTTTTTTGGCTACCTCTGGGATACCCAAGAGATAAGATACACTCTCCTATATAGCAGGGCTCATTTGGGATATGATTTTTACTGGGGTCAGGGCAGGGAGGGGATTATTAATAATGATCATTGCCTTCATAATGTCCAATATTTTTTGGATGCTTATTCTATGCCAGGAACAGACTTTGATATGTTACATACACTATCCCATTATAGGATTCATTTACAGATTGGACCCACACTGCCTAGGTTTACATTCTTGCTCCAACTCTTATAAACTTCAGAGGCAAGTGGCTTTTTGTGTGATCTTGGGTGGCAAGTGGTTTTTTGTTTTGTTTTTGTTTTTGTTTTTGTTTGAGACAGGGTCTTGCTCTGTCGCCCAAGCTGGAGTGCAGTGGTGTGGTCACAGCTCACTGCAACCTCCACCTCCCAGGCTCAAACCATCTTCCCCTTCAGCCTCCCAAATAGCTGGGACCACAGGTGCACGCCACCATGCCTAGCTAATTTTCATATTTTTTGTAGAGATGGGAATTTCACTGTGCTGCCCAGGTTGGTCTTGAACTCCTGGGTGCAAGTGATCTGCTGGTTTCTGCCTGCCAAAGTGCTGGGATTACAGGCGTGACTCACCACACTCAGCTGGGCAAGTTTCTTAACCTCTCTGGGCCTCATGTACATAACAGACATATTAATGGTACCTGCCATGTAGAATCATTATGAGGGTCAAATGAATTAATGCTTGTAAAGGGTGCAGAGAGGTGCCTGGCATACAGTACTCATTAAGTATCATCTCGCTGATTTCCTTGCAACCACCTAGAAAGGCACTGATATGCCCATTTTCCAGGTGAGAAAAATGAGTCTTGGAGACCTGTGTTAACTCTTGTGGTCGGTCTTTGAACCCAGGTCTGCCTGCTATCACAGTCTTGTTGTAATCACTGCCAAGGAAGGGAGGGGGCACAACGAAGCGATGACATGATGTTTAGGAGACACAGAACTAGGAAGCATCGCAAAAGGCTTTTTTTTCCCACTCTCCTCTTCCTTCCTGAATCCGTTCGCCATGTTAAAAAAGGAAATATGAAGGTCAGCGCAGGTGAACCACACAGCAAGTAAGAGACTACACCAGAGGTGGAGTTCAGGCCAGGCTGCTTCAGGGTGCAGAGGGAAATCCAAATGGGTACCTTGTTGTGAGCTGCGGGCCAAGTCCTGACTGTGTTTTCTTGAGCAGGGCTTGTTTTCTGTGCTGATGTTGGCCTGGATCTTCCTCCCCATCTACATTGCTGGTCAGGTGAGTCAGGGAGCGTTGGCATGCTGTAGAATTGAAAGATGCTTTGGGAATCTCAGCCCTGCAGTCCCTCCCTCATCCCGCCATCCGTCCATCCTGCCCATGGTCATCCATCAGACTGCCACTCAAAGGCCCCAGTAAAGGGAAGGGATGATCCACGGGTGAGACAATGAGGAACCCGGTCCGTAGCACTTCCTGCCAGTAACCAACATCCAAGGCACACAGAGGGCATTTGGAGGTTGGAAAAACTATGGGCCCCCAAATTTTAAATACCCAAAACACAAATGTAAAGCTCACAATCTCTTTTAAGTGCTTAAATCACAATATGTTTCTGCTATATTTTTTTGAGAGAGGGTCTGGCTCTGTCCCCAGGATGGAATGCAGTGGTGCAATCTTGGCTCACCTAGTCTCACCAGCCTCCCCAGCAGCTAGGACCACAGACGCACGCCACCTCACCCAGCTAATTTTTGTATTTTTTTTTTTTCTAGTAGAAAATACAAAAACTCCACCACATTACCCAGGCTGGTCTTGAACTCCTGGGCTCAAGTGATCTGCACACCTCAGCCTCCCAGTCTGAGTAGCTGAAATTACAGGCATAAGCCACCATACCCAGCCTATGTTTCTGCTTTCTACTAAAAAATAAAAATAAAAATGAAAGTATATAGCTCATGCCTGTAATCCCAGTACTTTGGGAGGCCAAGGCAGGCTTGAGGCTAGGAGTTCGAGACCAGGCTGGGCAACATAGTGAAAATCTGTCTCTACTAAAAAAATACAAAATTAGCCAGGTATGGTGGTATGCACCTATAATCCCAGCTACTCAGGAGGCTGAGAAGCCATGAGAATTGCTTGAGCCCAGGAGGCGGAGGATGCAGTGAGCTGAGATCACACCACTGCACTCCAGCCTGTATGTGTGTGTGTGTGTGTGTGTGTGT